AAAGGATTTGGTAGAAAAAGGTGCAATAAAATCATTGCCACTGAAGTTATTTGATATGAGAGGAGCAGATGAAAATGGAATAGATGCATTTAGATATATGCAAAGAGCCCAACATATAGGAAAAGTTATCATCAAAATCCCGTATTTAGCTGATACTGGAGAAAATTCAGTTCCAGATGAATGCTTAATTACGGGAGGAAGTGGATCTTTAGGCCTGGCTCTCACAGAGTTTCTGCTCAATGAAGGTATTACAAACATTTCTATTATTTCAAGATCAGGAATTGAATCACAGACAGATAGCATACAAACTCAATGGAAAAAGCTATTGAAAAGGGTTTCAAACAATATAAACGGCAAAAAACAAGGCATTAGATTTTTTAATATTGATATTAGTAACAAGGATTCATTATACAAAATAATGAATACAGAATTTAAGAATCTAAAACATATATTCCATTTAGCAGGCGTACTTTCAGACTCAAATATAGAAGGTCAAAACCGTCAAAGTATTGAAAAAACATTCAAGCCTAAGGCAATTGGAGCATGGAATCTACATAATATCTGTGAAGAATTAGGATTAAATAATAAACTTAAAACATTTGTAATGTATTCTTCTATTGCATCTGGGCTTGGAAACTTTGGTCAAACAAATTACTCTGCAGCAAATTCCTGTTTAGATTCGTTATCCCAATATAGGTTAAGAAAGGGATTGTGTAGTAAAAGCATTCAGTGGGGAGCTTGGGATGAAGATGGGATGGCTATGAATATAAAACATCATTTGGGTTTAGTAGGGATGAACTACATTTCTAAAAGCATTGGACAAAAAATAATATTTGACTTATTTTCAACACTTAACTATGAAGAAAATAGAAAATTTGCAACAATAATGTGCCTACCAATTAAATGGAAAACTTACTTTAACACTGTTTACTCTGGTGAAAAGATTCCTCTGTTTTCATCGATTAATATGAATGTAAAAACTGAAAAGCTACAAAATACAATGTTAATGAAAATGAGTGAAGACGAACGTGAAAAATACATTGAGAAACAGATTATTTCTCTCTCGAAATCTATTCTCGGTGTTGAAATAAAATCACTAGATCAGCCATTACAAGATATTGGAATTGATTCATTAGCAGCACTCGAATTTAGAAATGCATTATCAAGAAAGTTTAACATAAAGTTGTCAGCAACAACATTATTTGATTATCCTACAATTAAGGGAATTAAAGATCATATATCTGAGAAGCTCTCAATTAAAGAAAGTACATACGAAACCAATAAAACTCAATTTCCGGATCTGTTGCTTTCCCAAAACAATCTATCGGATGACAGTATTGGGGTGATTGTGGGGATAGCTTGCAGATTTCCAGGTCGATGCAACACGCCAGATATTCTTTGGAAATCTCTGATTAGAGGTTACTCAATAAATCCTCTGTCTGGTAAGATGTATAACTCTATAGGTGGAGCTTTTTGCGCATCTAAAGAAATACCAATTCAAAGGTGGAATCATAATTTAGTTTATAATGCTGATCCAGATAAAACAGGAAAATGTTATTCACACAAAGCATGCTTTATTGATTCAATAGATATGTTTGATAATTCCAAGTTTGGAATTACGAATATTGAGGCAAAACATATGGACCCTCAACAAAGAATTATACTAGAAACATGCTACGAAGCTCTCATATCTGCGAAGATTAAAGAGGAATCTCTTATTGGGTTTCAAATGGGTGTATTTATTGGCTGTTGTTCAAATGATTGGTCATTTTTACAGAGCAGAAAAGGAATGGCACCTTTTACGGGGACCGGTGCTGCAAACACGACTATTTCAAATAGAGTATCATACGTGTTTGGAATGAGGGGCCCAAGTATGACTATAGATACAGCATGTGCATCATCTCTCACAGCTGTATGCATTGCAATGGATAGTTTTAAAAATAAAGAATGCAATGGGGCTGTAGTTGGTGGTGTAAACGCCTTATTGTCGCCAAATCTCTTCATCGCATTTTGCAAGGCCAGAATGCTTTCGGTAGATGGTAAATGTAAAACCTTTGATGCTTCAGCTGATGGTTACGTAAGAGGAGAAGGTTGTGGTGCAATTGTAATTCTAAAGCAAAGCGAGCAAAAGAAACGAAACACTCCAATATTAGGAAGAATAAAAGGCTGGGGATGCAACCATGTTGGAAGAAGCGCAAGTTTAACTGCCCCAAATGGTCCTGCGCAAACAAGTGTCATTAAAATGGCACTTAATCAATCAAAATTAAGCAATTCAGATATTGATTACGTTGAAACTCATGGAACGGGAACTGCATTAGGAGACCCAATTGAGTTGGGTGCATTGAAAAGTATTTTTGGTAAAAAGGCAAATAATAAAAGATCATCTCCATTAGTATTGGGTGCATTGAAAAGTAATATAGGCCATTTGGAGGGTGCTGCAGGGATTGCTGGATTAATTAAGCTAGTATTAGTATTAAAGCATGAGACTGCAGTTAAAATTGCTCATTTAACCAAAATTAATCCTCACTTAGACCTAGAAGACTTCAATGTCATTTTGCCACAAAAAATTACTCCATTAAAGTGCACCAAAAACAAGTTAATTGGTGGAGTTAGTGGATTCGGATTTGGAGGATGTAATACTCATGTAATTGTTGAATCAACAGAAAAGAACAAATCAGAGAATAAGGAAGTAGCCGATTGCTCGAGAAACCATATATCGTTTGTATTTACTGGCCAAGGATCACAGTATATCAATATGTGCAAGGAAATTTATGAAACTGAACCAGTATTTAGAGATAATATGAATTTATGTAATGATATAGTTTCTAAAATTCTTAATATATCTCTTCTTGATATAATTTACCCAATAGGCTCTAACAAAGATACTGAATTTGAAACCTTGCATATGTTAAATGATACTCGCTATGCACAACCAGCGATCTTCGCTGTTGAATACTCCCTGGCACAATTATGGATTTCTAAAGGCATTAAACCAGATTCAGTATTAGGACATAGTCTTGGAGAGTTCATAGCTGCAACTATCAGTCAAGTTATGACAATTGAGGATGCTATAACTTTGGTAACTCACAGAGCAAGCATAATGGCATCTACACCTGTTTTAGATGGAATTATGGTGGCTTGCAGACTTACCGAATCTCAAGTTGTTGATACAATTAAGAGGTTTAATCTCGGAGAAACTGCAGCTTTGGCAGCTGTAAACGGCCCAAAAAGCGTGACTATATCTGGGAAAAAAGAATCAGTGTATACAATTTTAGAGCATAATGGTGTTGGTAGTAGATTCAGACAACTAGATGTTTCTCATGCATTCCATTCCCCGTTAGTTAGTGAAGCATCTGAAAAATTTAGCAAATTACTGAAAAATATAGAATTAAAACAGCCAACCGTAGAGTTTATCTCGACCGTTACTGGAAAAAAAGAAGTAGAGTCAATATCAACTGCTGAATATTGGTCAAAGCATATATTAAACACTGTTCGACTTTCAGACGCAGTTTCAAATGCAATTGAGTCTGTAAACTCAAGAATGACATTTATTGAAATTACATCAAAACCCGTTCTTTCACAATTATTAAAAGCTCTTGTTCCTACGAACAGTAGCCATATTTCAGTAAAATGTACCTGTAAAGTTAGAAATTCTGAATTTGACTTTATCCAACCTTTAGAAGAAATGCAAGAGCTTGTATCAGAAGACTCAAGTTTTACAAACTTTACCAACAGCTTAGATGATGATTCTTGGAGGTTCAAACTCTTAAAAAGAAGACAGATTCCATGGAACGATATTACTCATCCAATTATTGCTCCTCTACATGACTTTAGCGATATAGAATGGGTAAAGGAAAATATCTCCATTAGTAAGTCAAATGCAAGAGAGCTAGTTGAAAAGCTGGAGTTTACTTGTATGATTGCCCCAGAGTTGCTTGACTTATTTGATAATCACAAAGTATTAGGGCAGTCTATTCTTCCGGGAGCTGCGTTTGTTGACTTCATTGCAACAGCTGCATTAAATTATACTTTATCTCAGTTTACTCTCGGAGTAATTGGAGTAATGCCAGATTGGATTCAACTGAAAGGAATCTTTTTCAGAAACCCATTTATTTTGTCTTCTGCAAAACAATATAAATATATAAGCAGTAAATTAGATAGTCAGGATTATTCTGAAGAAGATAATTCTAGTCGTAACTCTGACTTTAATATTATTATGTCAAAAGGTAACAATTGCCAGATAAGCATAGAGTCTTCATTGAAAATGGACGAAGGAGCGGTTGTATATGCAACATGTGATGAGGTTGAATATGTAACGAATATGGAGGCTCAAACAAAAAGTTCGTGTATAATTTCTGAATGGCCAAGCAGTGAGCTAATTTCGAATTCTGAAAAAGTTTCTCAAGAAGACATTTATGAAAAAATGTCAATCGCTGGACTTCAGTATGGTGACAGGTTCAAAACACTAAAAGAAATGTGGAAAGTTACTTCAAATTCTGCTGTGGGGATAATTCAAAATGAGCTCTGTTATGAAAATGGTACTGAAACAACAGATAATCTTGCAATAAATGAAGCAATAATGAATGAAAGAGGCTTTACTATACATCCGACTCTATTAGATGGTGTATTACATATGTGCGCATCCATACTAGGCGATAAATCAAATGAGAAAACTCTTAACGAATTAAATAAACAGTCAACAATGGTTCCAATAAGTGTAAATAAATGCCTTATTACCCCTAAGATTGATACTTCAAAATATATTAAAGGGGAGAAATATTGGGCGTTTGTTCAGCTTACAAGTTCCGATAAGGATGGGGCGATGGTAAATGTTGCATTAAAGAGCATGGCCGGAGTTCCTATAGCAGTACTTCTTGGAGTTTCACTTCGTTCTGTTAAAAATGGAGTAATTTCTACACATACTGTTAAACACCACGTAATCCCGAATGAATTATTATGGAAAACTGAATGGGATGAAATCGTTAAAAGTATTACCATTTCTGAAATAATATCTCTTCCTGAAAAAATCACTAGTGATGATACAGAAAATAAACCATATCAAGGGATCAACTCCAATCTTGTTGAGAAAAGAAAAATTTTATTGCTTACTAATTCTAGTAATATTGATCAAGAAGAGTTATATTCTGAATACTATACAGCTGACATTGTATGTAAAGCTTCAAAACTCTCTTTAGTTGAAATAGAGGCAGCGATATATGGAAGAGATGATCATGAATTACCACCTTCACCATCAAACGAGGCAAAATATGATTTAATTTGTCTCCATATTCCCAATTCAGATAGAAAAGAGGCAGTTGCTTCATTATCACCAGTATTATATCTTTGTAAAATATTGAGAGCAATGTTTGAGAATAAAGAAAGAACAATTCCACGTGTTAGAATTATTACTGAAAATATATTCAATATTTATGGCTTAAATCATGAATTTAGAACAAATTCAGGTGTTTCTCCTTTTATTAAAAGTGCTAGGCAAGAACTTGAGCTATTCTCTGATCAATCTGTTTCATTAGGTTTAATTGATATAGAAACTACTGAAGATTTAAATAAGGCTATTATTCTCACAGTTGCAAAGGATCTACTCTGCTATAAAAAAAATGAAGATATTTTCTCTAATAGCACTCTAACAGAGTCACAACTTTCATTCTTAAATACTGAATATGAACCAGAGTTTGCTTTAAGAAAATATATTACAGGAAAACAAAATAATTGTGAAACTCAATACAGAATATTTACTCCAAAACTAGTTAGCTTAAAGAATGAGGCAACAATTATAGGTTCTTGTAAGTTAAACATGAGTTCGCGTGGAGCAATAAATAATTTAGAGTTATTGCCATTATCCAATGAAGAAAGAATAATCCCATCCGCAAATACTGTTGAAATCAGAGTGAAATCAATTGGATTAAACTTTAGAGATG